CCGGTAATTGTAGTGTATATAGCTTAAGCCAGATACCTCCCTCCTTACACCAAGACTCGAAGAGCGTGAACGCTTGTTGCAACAGGTTTAATCGATATAAGTAAGGTGTTTGGAAAACTAACAAATAAACAGGCAAAATATAATAATTCTATGGATATTTGCTTCCCATCACAAATAGCACAATGTATATAATCAACACAGCTTTACATGCATTTGATTGCCTTGTTATATTTACTGTAAAGCTTTTTAATGTATTATTGTAATTCTAGAACTTTAAAAGTTATAATGGCATCATATTTCTAACATATATAACCATTTGTACATTTATTCATTTAACTATCCTTGCTTAACCTTCGTACAAATTGGACCACAACTCGGAAGATCTCCAGCATAAACATTCACAGATACAATATTTTCTAAAAATAATCTCTGTACTGTTAATAACATAAACGCATAAACAATACTTACAACGATGCAATCAAAGCATTAAATGTATGCAGGATGTGCTGGATTTCTTAACAACAATAACACATTGCTTCACAGGCCATCTTTGTCTATTTCCATCTCTATGATCACTGGACACCCATCTGATGATGTCTCCTGATTCTTAAAGGGACCCGACTAGGCACAATAGGCACACAAAGGAGTAGCCCAGAAAATGCAAACAAAAGTAAAACTTAGCCGTAACAGAACAATGAATGTGCATGGGAACGGGAGAAACTCACGCTAACTGATGATCCGAACCATTGTTTTACCGGACAAAACACAGTCTCACAGAAGGGTCTAAATGGCCCTGAGCGAAACATGCTAACGCATTAGCACAAGAACTCTGGTATAATGATAGTATTACCTTATCGGATCCGCACAAACAAGCTTAGCTAACATGCTGAGATTCCACAGATTATAGAAATATAAGTATCATCACTGAGCGATCAGAACTCGCGACAGGGGAAGCAAATACAGACAACACACGACGTAGCTTTAGGTAGCAAAACACGGAGATATGCTCACCTTTAGCTGTTATTCTGATATTAGCTGCTAATGGTAGCCACCAGAGTGTATCGCAGCTTCCGGTTTTGACTACGCGTCACTCTCACTCCTTATTTGGTAACGTGTGGAACTTCCCCTCGATTCTATTGGCTCTAGCGGTTAAAAAGAGTTGTCAATCATCAAAATCGACCAAGGGGGGCCAGAGATAGGTCAAATCCGCCCAAATGACCCCAGAAGTGGGGGTTTTTTGTGCTAAATCTCTATAAAGGTCAAATGTCACTTGCTTTGCATCAATCTCGATAAAGGGTACTTATTATATGTTATAGTTTGGATTCCTAAAGCTTTTAGTCTACTATCCAGTGGTGTAGTGCGCGTTGGACGCGGGGTACGCCGTACCCCCACTTATTTGGAGCATGATCTTTTTTTCAATAGTCTAATAAATATAAAATCATTGCCAGTGTTATCAGTTGCAAGTGTGTAGTTGTTGTAATAATGACAAAAACATAATACATTTCACAGTAAGTAATTATAATAAAAAATAAAAACGATTTCCTTAAAGAAATATGATTTGTCATCACGCTCGTGACCCCGCGGCGAGCTGGGGTTGTGTCAGTGAGCGACATCTAGTGGCAGATTGTGGAACATTGATGAGATTTTTCTCATGGCAGTTAGACTCTAGAGACAAACCAGGGGACTTTATTTGTAATCTGTGTCTGTCCATTTGGTTTAGTATTTTATCTTATATTACAGTTTCTTTATATATTATTCACTTTCTTATGAAATGCCAGGTTTTAGGCCTTGGTTTGAACATTCAATCCTGAAAATAAAAAAATCAACCAGATTAATTGTTCTTTAATCCTGATATACAGTAGATAGTAAGTAAGTAAATCTGATAGGAAGATGAGTTAAGGGATAGAGGAGAAAAGGTTATGGTATAATCACAGAGCCTGTCAATTTATACATTGAGGAAATCAATATATACATTCAAATCAATGTTAGTCTGTTAACCAAAGTGCAGCAATCTGATAATGTACTATGTATTATTAAAGATCAGAGGAACAGAATAAAGAGGGGTAAATCCAGAATAAAAATAAGGAAGCAAAGAGATTGTAGAGCAGTGAGAAGGAAAAAAGCTTGGTGTGTCAATGTATTACATTGCCAGTATTTTTCATTGTTGTGAAAAAAAGTCGCCTCCTATGATTTTTTTAACAGCCCCCTCAGTCATTTCATCCTGGAGCCGGGCCTGTGTGTAGCCCATATGGCACGGTAGTAGTAAACTGTCTGATACGGTGAGATGTACTTTGATCGCTTAATTCACCTTGAAACCGTTAAATAGAGTTCTGCTCTAACGTTACGTTTCAACATTACGTTGTTACTACACGTTGTCAGTGGTTAAGCTCATGAAAGCACACGTTTAAGCTAAGCTAGCAAACACTATGATATGTGCCGTGTGAATATGTGATGCACGTGAAATTACCTTGACGTCAACATGAATGCTGCTATCGACGAAGCCCTTGGCAGACGCACTTAAACAACAAGTTTTTGAAAGTGAGCTTAACTTCAAATTGCATGTTCGTCGTTAAATCAAATGTTAGCTATCTGCTAAGTGCTAACTCAGTTTGCTAGTTTGCAACAACAACATGACAAGTTATAACTGCACACAAGCTATTTTTTAATACGTAATATATGTGACGTTACCACTATGGTCATTAAAGTTGAAGGTTCGAATGTCACACGCCACTCGCTCAATTTATTATGATAGTTTACATGAACATACAATATGATGAATGAGAAAAGAGGCATGTTTTGATGTTCTTACCTGTTTTCTTCGGCCATCGTCTCGAGTGTTTCAAGTACTGAAGTAAAGTATTATTTTATTTGTAGAGGAAAGCTTTCTGATGCACACCTATTTGCTCTCCGAACAAAATTAATATGAAATGACTTCCTGCTTAATAGCACGTCCTGCCCCTCACGGTCTGATATCACATTTGAACCCTGGTACAGAGTCAACACATCCCAAAGATAAGAGCAGACAATGTTTAGCAACTTCAGAGTGGAAAGCAATAGTTCAGGAAATTCATATTATGGAACAACTGTCTCTCTGTATGCCAAAACAAAAATTGAGTTCTAGAAAAACTGGAAATGTTATTTGAAACCCAACTGATGTCCATATCAGAGGTGGTACTGTACTTAAGTACAATTATGAGGTTCTTGTACTTTTACCTGAGTATTTCCATGTTATGCTACTTTATACTTCTACTCAACTACAATTAAAAGGGAAACAATGTTTTTTTACTCCACTACATTTCTTTAACCTCTTGAGCTACTTCTAACAAAATGCATCCCTCAACATTAAACTAATGGACTCTTCCAAGCAGGGCCGCCCCTCCCTACAGGCCAATCACGCAGGCTGCATGGTGCCCATACTTGCCAACCTTTAAGGCCCAGATACACCGGCCAGTCACCTGAGAAGTCGCCGACACCGACTGTTGCGTCGCCGCACTCTCCTGCTTATTTGCCGACTTCGCGCACTGGAACACACCGCAAATCCGAGCCGAGCACGTATGAACTGCGCATGCGTGAGTGGCAATAACTCTCCTTACCAGCAGGCGGCGGTAGTGTGTATTCATCATTCAAAAGAGGCAACAACCGGAACAACCGGAAGAAAGAGAAGAAGAACAGACTCCGTGATATAAACAAACAACAAATAGCGTTTTTCTTTCCATTTTCACTCTCGTCCATTGAAAACATGAACGAGCAGGACGAACGGGAGGTACTGGAGCTAGCAGCCCTTGGACTCACGCTTGTGTTAAATCATTTGTTTACCTCCCTCACTTCCGTTAACGCTTCTCATGCACTGATTCGCTAGCTGAACAGCCAATCAGTGTTATCCCTTTGTCCGACTTCCGGTGGTGTTCTCTGCAAGAAAAGGCGTCAGGTCGGCAAAAAAGACCCGACGGTGCGGCGCACACCACTCCGAATAGAGCGTGCCCACGCCCATGTTGGGCCTGATTCCCATTTACTGCCGATTTCGGGCCGGTATATCTGGGCCTTTAGACCTCAGAAATCGGGAGCATTTCAAAAAAATTAACTGTTGATAATAATAATAAACAGGAATTATATTTGCAAAGTAGCCTACTTTGTTTCCAAAACATTTTTTTTCACTCCTGTCGGTTTGGGGAGGGGGGTGGCTCATCTCACAATGTCGCTTGGGGCCCCAAGTTGGCCAGTGTCGGCCCTGCTTCCAAGTCACAAAAGAGTACAATTATTTAAATATTTTACAAAAAGTAAATCAGAACTATGTTTGTCTAAAACAGTTAAATGCTACGTGATTCAACAATAGTATCTAGAAATGTCGCTTACAAATATAATGATATACACACATGAAGGCAATTTTTCTGTGCAATGGTTATCTTAACTTTTTGTACTTTAAGTACATTTAGCTGATAATACTTTTGTACTTTTATTAAAGTAAGATTTAAAATGCAGGACTTATACCTGTACTTGTAATTAGATATTTTGAAAATAATGTATTGGTACTTTTCTCAAGTAAAGCATCTGAATTATTTTTCCACCACTTGTCCTTTTCCTATACTTGCTTTGTTTGTAAAACTTGCTTTACTTAACCCTGTGCTAAAGCCAAATAAATTGATCTCAGTCTATACATGCAAGAATCAGACCAATTTAAAGGTCAATCATGGACAGAGAGGACCCAAAGACTCGGATAGTTTGATGTAACCCTGCCTTCATTAGCCATATGTATTTTAATGTATATATGTACACGTATACAAATAGAGTATCTAAATAGATAAATGTGTATACAAATGTACTGTATAGGGGTGTGTGTGTGTGTATGTATTGTATGTTTATTATTTTCTTTCTTTCTACATGATATTAAGCATTTTATTTTACCCATGATGACCCTGTCTGCTTTCACACTGTTTGATGTAACAAATACGAAAAACAGTTAAAAACAAAGTTTGAAAAAAAGAAATCCCAAAGATATGACATGCATGTTATACTTTTTTTATTCAGTCTTTAGAAGTGCAAGTTTAGTTTTCCACACACAAAAATAGAGCTTCACTCAGTCTTAACAACAAGAGTCAGCTTGAATTTGAAAGGGCATGTTTTATTTAACATACGTCCATCTTGTTGGTTGTAATAAATGGCTTATGATCAGAACATTGAAATGATACGTCCAAAACCACCTTACACACACTGGTTTAAGAAAGAAAAAGGTTTCTTTGGCAAGATGCCCCTGATCTTGTTTACATTTATCGACTGTATTTTTAGTCAAAACGTACCCTTCACACAGCTGAAGAAGTGAAATCTTCTCATAACAGAAACAAATAATAGCCATAATGAGAAAAGCTGTCCATAACAATAAAGCTAAGGATTTCATACAAATTATGAAAGCAACTATTTGGTTCACAAACATGTTACGGTATATTTTACATATTTTCAAATATAAAGTGGTTCTGAAATTGTATACAGTTCCAATATTTTTATTTTTTGAAAGGTTTTCAGTCGATATGAAAAATATTTTTTCTTGGTACTACATGTCCCACAATCTCACTTTTTAGCTCAGAAAAAGAACCAACATATAAAGCACTTTAGAGTGTTCAGGCATTCATGGGTAAGATTCAATCATCTTACTGCTTATACAGAAAGTTCACGACACAATTTAATTTGTGCTAGAAGTTTAGAGATCTCTTGTTAAGATTGTTTTAGGCCCTAAAATCTAGCGTTATATAGAAATCTGTGAAAGGAAACATTTGTGCTTTGCAAATATTGGGACGTGTGCATTTTTCAGGGTGCTCCAAAGTAGTAAAAAAAAAAATACATTATCATGACACAATGACATGTCGCATCACCAAGTTCCAGTTCGCTTCAGGGAATGGACAGAGTCTAATTTCACTTATTTTTGTAAATGTTTACATAGCATGCTCCTGTTACAACAAGTGTCATTTTTCATGGCCCATTTATCATCAGAACTTCTGTCAAATCTGGATTAAAAGTTTAGATTTAAAACATTCATGATCTTACAGGCATTACAACATACTTATGATGGAACAACGGTGGTCTTTGCTTTCTATTCGCATTGCAGCATTATCAATATTGCTTTTTAAACTGTAATGTTGGTCCATAAAACATGTACCAAGTAAATTAATATCCTCTTGTTTACTGGTATTGATAATAACAAAAGGACAACTACCAAACTTATTTTATTACCTTATTTGTTGCTACTTGGTTTATTTTCCTTTATTCATTAATTCAAGTCCCCAAATAGGTATTATTCCATTTAACAGGCTAAATTATGGTATACAAATAAAGGAAAATACACATACACGGAACATTTCCTCTCAGATTGTACAGCACAGTGCATTATATTGACAGAGTCATCAATTAGTAAAACATATTTATAGTTATATAGCTGTTCATATAGCTATTTTGGTTAATTGCACCAGTCTAATTAAATCCAACTCAACAGACCCTACAGGATGCTGCTATTGATGTTTAATGGATGAATACCACAGCAAAATTGTATCAGGTTGTGCTACTATGAAATTCCAGTACAGGGTGTCAATATTTGTATAGCTGGTGAAGGTGGTTATGTACAGAAGTGACTAAGTTTGAGGTCTGACGTTCTCATCTGTAATCTCTAAGAAGCTTTTTATATGTTATTTTCTATTTTTGGTACCTGCTTTCTCATTGTCTCTCAGTTTCATTGAAACCGTCATTGTTCCATAAAAGTTCTGCATTTTCTTTGGGGAGCGTAGGCACATACTACAAACATTCCATTTGTTTTTTTAAGTGATTGTGTACAGAGTTAGTCTGTTGCATTCCCTACTAACAATCCACAGAGGTCCATTTCTTATTGATGTTGCACCAAAACCCTAAGACACTAAATTATGTAACTGCAATTTAAGACTGAAAGTTATTTCTGTTTTGATTTGTTTAAGCCATTAAAGTTTCATTTATAAAGATACATACACTTTGTGCAAAATAGGAACTGCTCACATGAACATTTGTAAATGCACTTATACTTGTCTATGACTAGCTGGGGCAGATAGAGAGCAACACAAACACACACAAGGCAGAGCGGTTTTTGAAAAGCTAAAAAAGCACTTCTGAAGTCTGATGGGACGTCACACAGTCTTGTTCTAGCGTCCCTGTACAGTATCAGTTTGCATAAGCACGCACAGTGGCAAATCCACATTGCACTCACCAAAAAATGTTCCTGCTGTGTGTGTTCCTTTTTTTTTTACTACCTAGTTTCCTGCCTTGAAAAACGCCTTGGTAGAAACGTTGAAAGCACCCAAAATGTAGAGCTGCGTTAATCCAGGGCAGTGAATGTCCCTTTCTGACGTCACAGCTTTAGCTTTCAAGTCTTTGACTGTGTGTCAGTACTTTCTGTTGCATGACAAGGTCAACTGAAGGAGTGTGTGTGTGTGTGTGTGTGTGTGTGTGTGTGTGTGTGTGTGTGTGTGTGTGTGTGTGTGTGTGTGTGTGTGTGTGTGTGAGGAGTCTCAATTTGCCCAAGGCTTGTTAAAGGGGCTTGAACTGCCCGAACGTAACCCAAAAAAACGCAGGTTAAGGCCACCGTTCCAGTGTGAGGGGGGGGCAGGTTTTCTTAACTCTCTCAGTCATATTTTGTTGAGTTTCAACTTCCCGCTCCCACACCTGCTTTATCTACACACATATACTCACACTCAGCATTTAGACATAAATCACCCGTCAGATACAAAAGCCTCTTCCCTCTCCGGCATCCGACCTGCAGGTGTTTGTGTCAGCCCTGCGGCTCAGTGCTGGGGCCGAGGTGCGGCCCCTCCTGCTCGTTGATGGTGTGGAGGAGGAGGAGGCACACGGGGGGGTGGGGCGCGGCACCGCTTGTTTGGTAAGCCGGCTGAGGAGGCCCGGGTGCGACCCGCCTCTCCGACTCGCCCGGCGCCTGCTCCTCCTCCACACTGAAGGAGACTCGATTGCCACAGCTGTCGCAGAAGTCGCCCGCCTCTTCTTCTTCTTCTTCTTCTTCTTCTTCTTCTTCTTCCTCCTCCTCCTCCTCTCCCCCCTGCTCCTCATCTACCCCCTCATGCCCCAGCAGACCCTCTAGCTCCCTCAACTCCTTTCCCTCCTGGCCTGTCCCTCCAGCTCCACTAAAACCGCTGCTCCCTCGTGAGCCGCACACACACACCTCAATCCCGGAGTCCCCCGTGAATCGCCTCCTCCGTCCATTGGGGAGTCGATCTTTGTCCTCAGCAGGACCCTCCGTCGGCTCCTTCAACAGGGGGTCCTTGCAGCAGTCCTCCGCACCTCCGCTCCTTTTCTCCGGGCTGCTAAGTCGCTCCCTGAGTCCATCTGACAGCGGTATCACGCCAGACTCTTGCGGCTTGTTGTCAGGCTTTGGCCTCAAGTCTAAGGTGGGGGGCTGTGGTTCCTCTGTCCCGGGTCTGCACAGACTGTCAGAGACCGGGGGCACTGGAGTGGGCTGGATGTTTGGACAGTGTCCCTCCTGCTGATCAGCAGCCAGGGGGCTAGTAGCCACTGAGGATGGGCCTGTGTGTAAGGCACTGTAGGGAGGGGGGGGAGTCGGGGGCCGGTTGACCACCTCTTCGTAGTCAGGCAGGAGGTAGTTTGGCAGAAACCCTGATAAAAAAAAGCAGAAATCTGCTTAAGCACTGAAAATGTTTCATGGCAGCAACACTTAGTTATTTTTGCATTCACATAACTTCGCTGTCTGACCCCTAAAGATTCTAACATGACCTCACTGAACTTCCACTTATTCAAACATTCCCAAAGCAATAGGGGGAAAATGTGACAAAACAAGCTCATATCTGGGTCAATTCTGTGCTGAAGGCCGTTGCAGCTCTGGACGCGATGCTGTTGCAACACTGGCAAGGACCCAAGGATGCCGGTCGTTTCCTGAAAACTGGGGCATGCAAACAGGGAAGGTTCTGACGCTGTTTGAAACCAGGGATACATGTCAGTGCAAACATTACACTGAGCCAGGCTCATACCGCGCTGTTTGTCACTCCTTTTTAATTCCTCAGTTTGATAATTACGTGTTAGTGCTTGAAATTCTAACGGTTAAGAACTGAGTTTTTGTTTTCCAAAACACCTTCACCTCTACGATAGACTTGACATAGGCAACTTTTGCGTCGTACACTCGACACGCAGCTGGTAATCCTTGTAATGGGGTCAAGTTATTACATTACATGTTATTTAGCTGAGACCTTTATCCAAAGCGACTAACATACACTTCAATACTGTAGACATGCCTACCGAGCAATTTGGGGTTAACACTTCAACATGTTGCATGACTGGCAAGGGGGGGGGGGGGGGGCAGCACTGGCCCTCGGATAGGCGTCATTTATGCTGGGGACATGTCCCCACCACTTTTTGAAATGACCAGTACAACTTATAAATGTTCTGAAAAATAGCGTGCACAAAGTATTTCAATTTGGACATGTTAGTACATTTTTTTATAGAAAATGTAAAGAAAAACATTGCTCCCGCTTTGCAGCAGCAGGGCACAGGCAATGTCATTTAAAAAACTAAACAAAAAAGAATTCCTCCTTACTCTACTGATTCTAAAATGACTCAAACAACATGCTTGCGGCAATATTGCTTGGCCTGTTTGCCTGAAGTTCATCTTGTCTTTTTGCTTTATTTTCTTGTCAGAGAGTACCAGAACGCGTAGTTTACATGTTCAAAGAAAAAAAATATATATAATGGGGGGAGGAAGCAAACATCGATTTTGGAGAACAGGCGGGTTCAAGACGAGAGATCATCAAAGAGAACATTGGCTTCCTCAATCCTTTTCCCTGGCCACACACATATGAGTCTGTAGCCTGACGGAAATTAGTGTGTGCAAAAAAAGGTTTGCGCGCAACAGTTTTATTTTTAAATAACCGCTTTTAAAACAGAGTGATGCCCCTGCTATTAACCCCTTGCACTACTGTACATACCAAACAATTAAATGCTTCAGCACAATTACACTTCAAAATTACACTTTCAAAAACATACGTCAATATTTTGTATCCGTTTAGATTTAAACCTGAAATTCTGACAGGAAGGCCTTGTTTACGCACTCAAGATGCATTGACATGATAAACACACAACAACATTTTTTTTTGTCAACTCTTGAGGAAAATGTCCCCAAAAATCTAATTTGTGCCACTGATCTTAAATACACATTTATTTAGATTTTTTTCTGTAAAATGTTTCTGCAATTACTAAGCTAACACTTGTTGGCGTTAATGGTATTCATTTTTAAGTTGTAGTGTAGAACTTTTGTCTCCCCCCTCTGACAGTGAGAGTAATTACCTTTTGAGAGAGACGTTCCAACACAAACACACTAAGCCAACTAAATGTGATTACAACAAATATTCTCCCCCATCACGAGACAGCCTTTAGTTTAGCGGGGGTGATGCTACATGAGCACAATGTAGTTTGTTTACAGACTAGGGTTAGCAACTTAATTCCGGCTATTGCATTTAAGCTTCATCTATTATAATCGCGTGTTGAGATTATCCTGCTGATCAGAATGTGTTTTTCTCAAAGTGTCATAAATGTGTGTTTGCCACAAATCTTATTACTGCAATATTCCCAAAATCCGATAAAGAATCCTGCGTTTCTTTGTCAAGGGACCTTTTGCCATGATAATTTCCTGGTTGGCGTACAAAAATACGAACAACTATATCATGTTTCCTTATTATCTTGTCTGTGTTGGTGTAGCAGATCTTACTGAAGAAGAAGGGCACGGAGGGGTAGTTGTGTGCTTCGCGGTAGGCGATGAGGTTGATCTCGTGCTGCCGTTGTTGTTGCTGCAGACGTTGTTTGGTGCGGCGATGGTGACACACACAGCAGCAGCTCAGGATGAAGATGATCGCCCACACCAACCAAAACCCTGAAGAGAGAGGAATCAACACTGTCATGTTCTGCTTACAGTGAAACTATAACAAATATATAAGATTGTTTGGCACTATATTGTATAATAAACCTTTTGGATGATGAAGGCGTGTTAACAGGAAAGTGTCTTCTACAATGTCCATAAACCGTGCTAGTTTGTTCTGCCTGTTGCTAACACAAACAGATCCAATACAACCAACCTCTGGTTATAATAGTGAAACATCTACGTGCTTGTAAACTGTATGCATTGCATTATGAATTTGACGTCATATAATCAATTCAATCATCAAGAGGTCCAAGTCCGTACTTATCTCCACAACAAGACACTGACAGTTTACTCTGTGGAGCAACCACAGATATTAGACACGCACTAAACTCTGATTGTGAATGTTGAAATAAATAAAGACAAAAATTATGAATACCACATCCCAGCACAATTTGATTGTTTAAAAGGGGCTCTATTATTATTTGTGGGGTTTTCTCTTTATATAGGTTATGTAGGTTTTGAGCATGTAAATGCTCTCCCACACACTAACCCCTCTGCCTGAAACGCCTCCATTGGACTTCTTTGTTTATTTCCACAAAATAGTGACATCCCTATGTTACACTTGCGCTTCTATTGGCTAGCGCTACAATACATTGTAGGTGATTATTATTATTTTCAACAAACAAAAGCACGGTACCATCTAAACTCCAGCCTCTACTGCAGGAGGAAGCATGACACTTTGCAAATCATGACGCAACACGTTATATTATCTTACATGTGAATTCTTTCTCTGAAAACAGGCAACGACCAAAGGCTAAAATATGATTTTCTATGTTGGTGGTTCCAAGCTTATATAGTGGCATGTACAGTAAATACATGTCTGTAATATTTGTCTTAACTAAGCACATAAACCCATGGTGACTTTAAAGCAACAGGAACGTATGAAATAATCTGCGTTAAATCATCACAAGTGCATTTCTCACGCCCTTTTTTTAAAAGTCTTATCTAATAAGGTAAGTAGCGTTATCTTGTAGAAAACATGTTTCTGTAGTGTGTGTGTAAACAAGGATTCCAGCCCTTAAGTTAAAACCCTTATATCCTGACTGCAAGCACTGCCCATATGCCATCAGCCTGTTCCTAAGCCTCATGACATCAATGAAGGCCAAAATAAACTGTCATGGAAGATTTGGAGCAGACGATTTAAAAAGGTTACAGGGTCAGAAACATGGATGGAGCCCGGACAGACATCATGTCTGAGCATACCAAACATCTTATGTCATGCCCGCCTTGTGGAAATAATGTGGCTACATTATCACAGACATTTATAGAATATTTTCAAAAGCAGAATCTGTGTAAAGTAATAATAATAATAATAGATTTAATTTGTTAGCGCTTTTACAGGTGCTCAAAGACGCTTTACAGATAATAGTGAAGAAAAAAGAAAAGAGAAGAAAGGAACAACAAATAAATATATAGTTAAAGTTAAAGTCAAATAATACAAAAATAATCACACATTAAAAGCCAGATTGAAGAGGTGAGTTTTTGTGAGTTTTTTGAAGGTGGTGAGGTCGGTGCAGTCTCTGATGGGTTGTGGGCGTGAGTTCCAGAGGGAGGGGGCAGCGACGGAGAAGGCTCTGTCCCCCCAGGTCCGGTGATTGGTGCGGGTGGGGATGGATAGGAGGTTGGCTTCTGATGAGCGGAGGCAGCGGGAAGGGGTGTGGTTGTGCAGGAGGTCTGTGAGGTAGTTGTTGAGGGCTTTGTAAGTAATGAGGAGGACTTTGAAGTGGATTCTTTGACGGACGGGGAGCCAGTGGAGGTTCTGGAGGATGGGAGTGATGTGGTCTCGGGAGCGGGTGTGGGTGAGGAGGCGGGCAGCAGAGTTCTGGATATGTTGGAGTTTATTGAGGAGGTTGGATGGTATGCCATATAGAGGATGCTATTGCAGTAGTCGAGTCATGAAGTGATGAATGCATGAATCAGGGTTTCAGCAGCAGAGGAGGAGATTGATGGGCGGAGACGGGCAATGTTCCTCAACTGCTTCAGCTCCTGTTGAGCAGGATCTACAGTTTCCAGTATTTTCCGTTTCGTAAAATGATCAAATACGGCAAAGATATTC